ATTCAAAAGTATTTCTTGGGGAAGCTTGGGAATGAAAAGTGAGAGACGCGTAGAAGGAAATGCTCCTAAATGAGGAGGCGTCAGTTATTATCGGTCCGCATTATTTATGTGAAAAACTTATGAGCATCTTTCTATTAACCTTGTCTAGAGCGAAGGCGGGTGATGGTGGAAAGGGGGAGGGAGGGCGGGGGGGGGGGGGAAAGGAGAAGGAGATGCAAACTTATCTCTCTTCGATTCTAGTGTTGACCGTAATCGCAGTGTCATGCCTCTGTTTAGCCTACAACCATATTTGGTGAATTTCTTCTCATGAAAACAGAACGAGACTGTAGGCGCTCTCATAGTTTGCTAAATTTCAAATAAGCTTTCAAGTACAACCGTTCAGCCAGGCGTTTTGTGCTATTGCACCACTTTTTAGCGTCTCAGTTGATGAAGCTTTTTTGTGCAAGTTTTCGTAAAACCTTTTCGTCGCTCTCTTCTTTTTCTGCAAGAACCGGGGCTAGAACGTACGGTCTGCTCAACGCAAAATGAATGAACTTATGAGGACGAGTACATTTACCCTAAATTATCAGAGCAGGCAGTAACTTTTTGTCATTTGATCAAATAAAAATAAGTCCTATACTCTAGGAAATTGTGAGCTATTTTGGCAAGTAGAAGAGACTTGTACTTTAGTAGTTTTGTCCAATTTTGTTCTCGTTTGCTCTGTTATGAGCTGAATTGACATCAATTCCCTAATGAGATGTCATGAGGCAATTAATTTTGACTATTTTGTCTGATATTTCATAAATGTATGACTACTATTATATTTTATCTCTACCAGCCAAATTGGTTTACAGCTACTTTGTAAGCTGAAAACCTTCTTTTGTGTATTATGGTCAGTCTATAGCGTTAAATTTTTACGGCCTCCACACATGTACAAAGTTTGATTTTGAAATCTATAGTCAAAATCTAATTTTGCGTGAAAAATTACAGCCGCTGAAGACTCTCCACATTAGAGATACATAGATAAAGCTGCATCCTCCCGTAGCTAGAGATGAAGAGATGAACCTCCGAAATATTTTATTTTTTTAACATCACAAGAGAATCTTTCAAGCAACCTAAAGTTTCTATCGAAGAAGCTTTTCGTGCTTCAAAGCCTTTCTAAAAGCCGAGTAGAAGCTTCCAAACTGAGAAAAGCGTGATTTTTGTAGCCAACAGAGACTCAAAGCACTCTGAGAATAGAGAAAAAGTATTTCTTTTTTTTCTGACTGCTGTAGGTCCCGCTAATAACTGATACCTAAGACCTCAAGGCTGTAGCTTTACATGAAAGTTTGAGCGTTAAAGGCTGATCTCAGACGAAGGCGGTGGGTTCATGTGCGAAGCGGGTGCGAACGTCACATTATTATTAATTATTATTATTCAAATTATTCATCATTACTATGCCCTCGCCGCTTCTTTCAGGACACTGCCTTCGTCTGGGACTAGTTTCAAAAGGTTGCAGAGAGAAACTTTGCTCCAGCATGTTCGTAACTTTTGATTCAACTGGATTGGTGGCTGGAAGGCGGGGCTTTGCGATCTAATTAAGGGCGCTCGCACCCGCGACGCAGTCGGCGTCTCTCTCGCGCTCGTGCTTTCTGGTCATTCTCTAGCCTTGACTAGGTCACGAAGCCCCGCCTTCAGCCGCCAATCTAGTTAAATCAAAGGATATATATGAAATGCCTCGCGTTAACCTCACAGTTTCTAGAAGTCACACCGAATTTTCTTGCGCTGCTTACTGTTTTCGGCCAAGCACATGGTGCTAATTTCTCGAATTTTCTTCAAAATCACGAAACGTGAGAATAAAGGTGTGTTTGTCCTGTAATGACCCAGTTTATTCGCAGCAAGTTCTTGATAAAGTTGATTCGTCGTTCTTTGCATGCACATTACTCATAAATTGCATTTTGCGGGCAATAAAATAACATGACGTAGCGAGGCCAGGTGTTAAGTTTGAATAAGATTACATTACATCACAACCTTATTACCAATTATTGGGTTTTGAACTGTTGTAATAAATGAAGTCATAAAGGTCATAAAGGTCATAAACATAAAGGTTAATCATTTTGAGTTTTTCACCAACTTTTTTTGCTCTGTTTTTGTTTTTTAAACAGTACTATCGAAAACGGCATTACTTGACTTAAATTTTTCAAAGAAGTATTTTTTTGCAAAACTCTAACTCTAGTATTTTATACTCAGTGGGATCTGTCTGGCGCGATTGACATATCGCTAGCTGTGGTGGCTGAAGATAATTTTTTTCAGGAAGAGAAAAGGTAACTTTCTCTCAAAGAAGGGACTTCACGTCAGCCACACCCTCCGAAAAAATTTTGAGGTGCCAATTCTATGACTCTTTAGTCATGAAAAATGCCCTCACAAGAAATTTTTGCACAAAACTCTCTTAGGGGCCGGGCATACTTCACGCGATTTCAGTCGCGACGCGATTTGGCAATTCGCCAGAACTCTTCAGATGCAACATTAGCAAACTGTACATGCATGGTGTGTAAGACTTGAGTGGGTTGATAAAATACGCTATCTTCTGTACATTCAAATTGTGCTTACAATGAGTTACGGACAGTTGGAATATTGCCAAATCGCGTCGCGACTGAAATCGCGTGAAGTATGCCCGGCCCCTTAAGGATAGCTATAGCTCTGAGATCCTTAACTCCGTTTGAGGAAAGGAACAAAACGGAGTTAGCCTAAAAAAGTACTGATAATCAATTCATTTACGGTCCCGAATTCTAAGATATATTGCACTTCGTTCGTAACCTTTTCTAAAAAATTTCAAGAATTTCAAATGTTTGCAAATAAAGAAAAATCCATTTGCACATTTCTTGCGATCGTTTCTTTGTCTTTCACTGCGAGGAAAATTCGCGGTTGGACAGGGCTACCTACTGTAAGTGCTCAAGAAAAAAAATGATGCAATTGCACTGAAATGTCCTATTTGCATTATTTGAATGAGCAGGGCAACAGCATAACCATATATGTTGCCGTTTTCACCTTTATTGAGCTTAAAAGGATGCCTTAAGAAGCTCCTATAATCCTTGGCCTTTGACAGTATATGGGATAAAGTACCTCCCTACATAAATTGCTCGGATTTACTAGGGATCTCGGCATATTAGTCAGCAATTACGCAGAAAACTACGTCAAGAAATTTAAGCTCGGCTCAGCAGTTGCCTTTCTATTTATAGTTTGTAAGACTTCGCCATTTTATCACTGGAAAGATCAGCGCTCCCTAAAGAATGAAAATTCAGCGAGAGGTCAAATTTATCAAGCTGTAACGTAAGTGTTGCGGCAAAAATGACGTTTTTTTGTATTTTTCTGCATTTTTCATGAAAGTCATAACTTTTCATAATTAAGCTTAGTCAGCACCAACCGGACACTGTTAGAAAGAGGAGCTCACGTAAATTGTAGAAGACATGTTTCTAAATTTTTCTTGCAGGGTTTCAGAATGTTGTCAATTTATTTCCGAAAATCGGGAGTTAGAGTGGGTCTGCTATTAAAATTTTTATGAGTTTCTTGTGTCAAAGAGCCGCAAAGTAGTTTTTAGAAAGTAGATGGATTTTTTATCTGTGAATATTTTTTGTAAGTGAATACATTCATATGGGGAGCAGTTACGAATTTTTAGAAGTCAAAGCAGCAGAACTTTCGGATCAGCTTTATACTTTGAATCTCTAATCTTAGGAGGGACATTTCTAGCTAGCACAGGGAAACTAAATTTAAACTGTCGCCCATACATTACAACTATTGGACAATATTGTGATCCCACAAATCCCTCAAATACGCAAGCTTCCTCCCTACAAAAAATAAACTAAGAAACGTCATATTCAATCCCCGAACACAACAAATTCGTCAACAACATGAATGCACCTCAGTCACCCAGTTCATCCTCCACTAAGCAGGATATATAGAAGTCGTGCCGTCAACACATCGAGAGTTTCAAGGTAACTCAGGTACAGTAGTTTGTTCTCTTGTTCTCTTCTCCACCACCTTTGGTGTCATACACATCTGGCACTTTCCCTTTCAATCAAATTTCCAGATTCGAAGGAAGAAACAGCTTGCAATTACAAGCCTGAATAAGAACTATACGAGTTAAAAATAACCCTCAAGGATAGCACTTCCTTCTGATAAGAGCAGCGGCCGCAAATCTGTGATGATCTTCCTCAATAGGGCTCTTGATGTCATAATGACAAACAAGAGTCTCATGATGTTGTGATACCACTTCCGAGAATATCTTGACTTTCCTGTTTCTCCAAGTGATAATTTTGGTTGGCTTGAAAGAAACGCTCGCTATAGATTCATGAATACTCATGTGCAGGAATCGCTGAAAAAGCAGAAATTTTTTTCAGTTACTTAAAACCATTTCTTCCTTCTCCGACGCTTTGATCATTGTCAGTCTACAGCTATATTATTTTTGATTGATTAAAAGTTTAGGCCAATAAATAAATGAAAACAAATGTGGACAAAGTTTCTGGCACAGCCCTCGAGAAAACTTTGCATCCCCAAAAATAACGATAATTAGTGATTCTGAAATTTTGTAGGATGGAGGAATCAAAATTTTTACCAAACGGGCTGCGGCAGCCACGCCCCGAGATTTTTTGCAAAGCTAGTTTGAGTGCTTGAGATATGAAAAAACTATTCCTGTTATTATGATCAAAAATAAATCATTTGCAAAAGTCTATCACTCATTTAATTCACTTACAAAATTTTCGGCCCATCGTCGGGTGATCGTTGGCTTTTTAGTATAGAATATCTTTGGAAAGAGAAGCTAATTTTTTCTCAAGTAAAATGTACTCTGAGTAAATATATCTTGGCTTTCGTACAATACAATGAAATTAAGATGTTGTGAGGAACTTAATGTCAGAGATTGAACGTACCTATTTCAAGTTCACTGTCTCTTACAACGTCATTCTCGTCAAGCACGAGAGATGTATCGCGCTCGATTTAGCATTCGTTTCTTTACATAAACATTGAGGACTCCTATAAATAATTTCAGATATGTTAATAATTTTGATAGCAGTGCTCTTCGCTCCAGTGCTTGCACGAATTTCTCATCACTGCAATGAAGTCAGGGTAAGATTGGCAGCTATATCGTTTGGTTCAGGTTATTTTGGGATAATAGCCTATTTTGGATATTCTCGGACTAGCACGTCATCTTAGAGTTTCCGGAAGTGCGTCAAAATGTCCTTAACCTGCATTCGCTTGACTTGCTTGGTTTGCTTTCGAAGGGCACGTAAGCGGGTTCGTTTTCGGAGGAGGAAAAATGCTGGCTTAGCTATACAGCTGGAATAATACTTTAGAATTCAAAAGATAAGAACAGAGCGAGACTTGCCTTCCTCTTCCTTCCGAAAATGGGGCGCAAAATGATCGTATAAATTAAGCTGATATTGCAGTTAGATAAAATGCCTTATATGTGTATTCTCAGGAGAGCTGGAAAATTAGAGACGGCCTATATCGATTCTAGATGTTCCAACTTTCGGATGGTTTATCGATTGGTGAAAGATAATAAAGCTTCCTTGCATCGAAAAATTCTATGCTTGATGACCTTTGAAGCCCAAGCACTGGAAATTTCGCCATGTCATACCACACCACTTAATCTCCTCCTCCCCCCCCTTCAGTCCAGCACGACATCTAAACTTAAAGGCAGCGTCCAGGCAGATCTGGACCTATGGGGTTTTTACGTGAAAAGTACTTTTGGGGCTCTAATCAAGCCACTGCCCAACTGGTAGCTCAGGTAGTGCTCTAACAGTTGAGATATTCCCCTCGAAGCTGGACCCCGCGATCGTATTTCGCATGGATTCATGGCGCAAAGCGTGGATCCCGGCGCGAAACTGCCATGAATCCATGCGAATACGATCGCGGGGTCCAATTTCGAGGGGAATATCTCAGCCGTTAGAGCACTACCTGCACTGCCGCTTGGACAGCGCCATAGTTAGGGCCCCAAAAGTACTTTCCACGTAGAATTCCCGTAGATCCAGATCTGCCTGGATGCTGCCTTTAAGTTAGCGATTACCTCGGGGTTCAATTACCCGTTTAATTTTCAAGGTCGAAACCCCTTCACGTGGAGGGATCCTGCTCCCTTATTGCACCTATGGCCTAAATACCGCTTTGTGGAAAATGCCTTAGCCTCAAAAGAGAGAACTCTGCAACGACTTATGGAACAATTTTTTTTTGTTTTATTGAATTTGGAAAGTGTGGTGTAGTCTCACCTGTGAAATCGGTAACGAAGGGAAATATGATTACTTTACCGTTCTTTTTCTCTACCAAAGCATGACCTGGGATATTCATGAAATTTTGAGAAAAACACACTTTATCAGTAACTTTATCAATAAGTAAATGATTAATGCTTTTTGCTTTCCAGGTAGAAACGGAAGTGGAAGCAGAGCGGCGAAGAATCTACGAACATTGTACGGAGGTGTGTGATGAACAACAAGCGTATGGAATCTTCTGTGCTGATTGTCACATTCCCTATGAAGGATATGGTTGCCTTCGAAGAAGAAGAGAGGTGAGCCCAGCTTCATTACCACCCCTCTATCCAAAGAAATCAAGACTTTATTCCACTCTTCGAACAGTCAATCTGGAAGCCATATCCTCTGAATCCAAACCGAGATGCTACGATAAAAATGCCAGTCTTTTCCGCGCGCAAAATGCCGGCATGGTGTGACTCATGTTCATGCCCAAATTTTATCGCATTTTCTCGGCACCGCGAGCACACTACATGAAGAGAATAACCTACTAGATTGTACACTTGAAGCAGGTGCGAATGCGGAAAAGGTTACTAGAACTGTGTTGCCGCAAGGAAAATTGAACGTCAGCTGTCCTCTAAGCGCCAAATCAGGAATGATCAAGCGCTTTATGATATAGGTTGTCGCAAATCCTCATCGTCTGATTGGATTTTGTTTACTTCGGGATGCATAGTAACACGGTAACCTTTCCAACCCATCAAAAATTGTCCGTCTAAATCCCCCCAGTGACGCAAGAAAGTAAAAGGATACATATAGCTTCTCAATAGGGACCGGTTTATCAACTAAGAAACCAAAGCCCATTCTTTTCTGCCCTAATATGTGCGACTGCATGCACCACACACATTGTGCGTCTTATCCCACATTTTTATGAACATTTGCGGATTTCCATGAGGAATTCTGTAGACTTCTCTTAATGCCTGAAAATAGCAAAAACAAGGCGTGAGGTATGGCACCACTCCAACCTGGGGTGGGGGGGGGGGGGAGCGTATTAAGGGGTCAGAGAGGAAGGAGGGGTCGTCATCGGAATACTGCTGATGTTAGCAATAACATATTTGTTATGCGAAATAGCACTATGATATATTGGAGTGTAAGTGCAGTCGCAATTAGCATGTCAAATAATCCCTGTGCAACCAAGTTTTAGCGTTCTGAGAATTCAAATACTCGGCACCAAGTAAGATAGTCATTTTCGAACACAAACGACTTTCTTTTGAAGATGAGCTAGCTACCTTTTTTGAACCCAGTAAAAAGCATTAGTCTTCTTTGTGCTGCGATCGAAAGGCAGCCACGTTGATGGTACCCTTTGCTTCAACCAAATCGGTGGCTGGAAGGCGAGGCTCTGTGACCTAACTAAGACTAGTGAAAGAAGCATAGAAAGTGATCGGAGAATATGTTCGCGAGGGAGACGTCCGCACTGCGTAGCGGACGCGAGCAGTCACCTCCTGGTCATTTAGCTCCGCCTTCCAGCCGCCAAGCCTGTTGAATCATAGGTTACCCATGGGAGCATTTCTGAGGGACAGACGATACACAGAGACAATCAGTTTTTTCTATATACTATGTAATAATTCTTTTACAGGTAGAACTGAACTGCATTATGGACTGCGATGTTATGCTGCCCGATCGAACCGCTCAACTACGTTGTCTCGAATCATGCGGTCTACCGATATCACCAAAATTTTCGTTATGATCTCACTCACCTTAAGGGAAGGCACCTAACTTAGTCTTTTCTTTTATAAAAAGACATATAAAAATTAGGAATCAGCTTGTAACGCTGAGTCCATTGACTGTACTTGCGAAGCTTATTTTCAAGTTACGAACTTTGCATTGAACGCAGTTGTCATATTGCTGAATACGGGAAGGCCTGTACGTAGGAATCTGCTTGAGAAAGGTGCTAGGACATTAAAATAACATTAAGGCAAGTCTTCTGGCGCTAATAGGACATTATGCAGTTGCATCACCGGTGGATACCGTAATACATATCGTGAGTCAATAAGCCTGCGGATTTTGCACGAAAAAATGCCCACAACTTTGTGGAGAACAATGCTTCGCAGATAACAAGAAATTTGGACTCAGCGTTACAAGCTAAGTCCGCATATATGTGTCGTTTATTAAAAGGTCAAAATGACTTAGATGCCTTCCCTCGTAAGCAGCTTTTTACTAGCAAAAGCTGTCGCTCCCATTAGATGAAATTATGACCGTAATTCTGATTTGTAAATAATTGTACGTGTGGACAAGCTAAAGGTTATGTTGCTGGAACTTTCAATGACTTCAACGGATTCTCACAGGTGAACATATCAATAAATATCAGTGACTATCACATCACATAATTTGCGCATGTATTTCTTCGAAGAAAAAAAACCTTTGAGACCCAGATGATTTATTCTCTAGCCACCATTTTAACTGAGTAGTAAAAAATGAGGCAACGATTATCGTCAACAAGATGAGATATGATAGAGGTAATCATAGAAATCGAGATCAATAGTACAAATTTTCCTGCATAATTGCTGCATACCGGCTTTGTTCCTCTTCAGTCATCTCTGCCACCATTTCAGACGTCACTTCGCTCAAAGGTACCTGAAGCAAGACATCGGTAAAATGTCTCTTGAGGATAAGGTAAACGAAAACCATGGTTTCAACCTACCATCCTTCCAGCCACTGAAACCATCTCTTCCTCCTCATCGTCTTCTTCTTCCTCCTCTTCCTTCGCTTCGCCACTTTGAGCTCCATTATCGGACTCACTAGAACGCTGCTTTTTGGCAGGAGGCTCATCCGTGACCCCTTCCAATTCGGCCATCAAGCTCAGTGATACAGACGATGATGCATGTGACACAGTAGCACCACTGAAACTCAAAAATTGCGATAGGAGGAGTATACAAGCACAGACGAGCAATTTAATCTACGGTCGTGACCTAACCAATATGTGAAGCGTATGTGTTGAACCCCCTCGCCCAACTTGGCCTTATCCCGCACATGACATTGTTTTAATAACTGCTAAATAGGGATACCAACATGGCAATATTGCCTCAGACGGTGGGATGAAAATGCAAGTATCAGACACTAGGTTCTCTCTGCTAGCGCAGATGGTTTCATTATACCTCGGCCATAGAAAAGCAAAGCGATTCTGAGCTTTTTCCAAGAAATTTTGGCGCTAACGAGTGCGATCTTAATGTGTGCACTAATTACGAGCAAGATGTTGAGAGAAACTAAAAATTCAGAGTCTTACATAGTAGGCGTCAGCTTCGCCAGCATAATCACGCATGGCTGACACGTGGTTAAATGGACAACGCAGATTTGATAAATTATTCCACGAGACATATCAAGCATATCGATGTTCAGCAGATGTAGGGAAATAGGTAGTTCCAAAAGTTTTTCGAGGTGTCATAATAACGCGTAAAACAGAGAAAGGCAAACGATTTAGGAACTACTCTATGCATCTTTTCTTCCTCATTTCAGCACCCATGTTCCTATTCTGTCTGCTCTTGTGATCATATTAGTAATCGCCGAAAATTCAAACCTATGGTTTTCACCAGGTCCCACTTTCTCAATTTCCAAAATTTTCAATATATTAGGTTGGTCCGAAAGTTCGTTCGCACCATTTTCAAAAAATCATGACTTCTTTCCTTCACAACGATTTTGCGCTTTTCAAATTTTATTAGAAAGCGTAAAGCATGTAGTTTCCAATAGTCCTCTGGCGACTTTCCAGCATGTTCAGATTGCAGAGATAAAAATGAAAGAACGAGAACATCCGAATTTAGGAATTTTTCAGAAAAAATTCTAAAAATCTAGAAACTGCGCGATAAAATCCAGAAAAGCCATTATCCTGATTTTTCTTATATTTGATTACTAAGTGAGTTGAGTTTGTGCTGATCGAGCTTTTCTTTCAAAAGTTATGATTTTTTGAAAAAAAAAATGCCGAAAAACCATTTTCCTAAGGATTCCTAAGAAATCGATTTTTCGGCATTTTTTTAAAATCATAACTTTTGAAAGAAGAGCTCGATCAGCACAAACTTAACTCAGTTAGTAATCAAATATAAAAAAAATTAGGGTAATGGCTTTTCTGGATTTTATCGCGCAGTTTCTAGATTTTTAGAATTTTTTCTCAAAAATTCCGAATTTCGGATGTTCTCGTTCTTTCATTTTTATCTCTGCAATCTGTACATGCTGAAAGGTCTTCAGGGGACCATTGGAAACTACATGCTTTACGCTTTCTAATAAAATTTGAATTGCGCAAAATCATTGTGAGGGAAGGAAGTTATGATTTTTTGATTATGGTGCGAACGAACTTTCGGACCAACCTAATATATTTTCGGAGCATCGATAATAGGTGGATCGAGTGAACAAAGTGCAGTACAATGACATTTCTAGGCGTTTTCTACCAGCTTTTCAGTACTTTCACTATAATTTATAAGAAAATTTTCACTTTTGCAAAGTCGTGCATTCACGGACGCATCAAATATTGCAGATCTGTGTCGTCACTCCGAAAACCGGATTTTGAAGTTTCGAGTGCATCCAAAAATCTACAGTTTTCATGATTTTATTTTCAAAAATTACAAATCGGAAAAAACACCTACTGGAAAGAGGAAAAGAAAATGCACCGACTGACACCTGAGTCACTCCTCGATGGTTCTGTACGCGGCTTGACCAAATATGGACTTTGTTAGCATCAAAAGAATAATCACAGAAGTTCTAAAAATCTAGCCGAAGATGCCAAAAATTTGCTTTGCGTTGCACTTTGCTTACATTATCCACTTGTTATCAAAGCTCTTCCGAAAGGGGAAAAAGGAATTACTTGAATTTTGACATGGTAAAAACGGTGGGTTCGCATTTTCGGCGATTATTTTGGACATCACGCTATCAGACCAGAAACACCCGCTGAAAAGAGGAAGAGAAGCTCCCTCGGATGGTACTCAGAACGCTATCTTTATTCTACGTGTTTTTATGGTAGCTCGAAAAACGTTAAAAACATTCGGAGCGATCTGATATCCTAACAATTTTTTTTCAAAAAGACTTTGGCACTTACATGACTTTGTAAGAGTGCTCAATAAAAGCCCTCTGGATAATGACGTCGAGATGCTAGACAAAATTAGTAAATCAATCTTGACTACTCATTTAGCAAACGATATGAAAGACGGTTGAACTCATTGTGGTCAGCAGAGAGATTTCGCAAGAAAGCAAAAAATCGGTCTTCTTTCCACCATTCAAAATAGTGCCAACTATACCAGAGATTTACTACTTGCAATATGAACATGAACTTTATAAACAAGCTCACGAGAAAACATGACCCAGTTGGTGTTTAACGAGGTTTTAGCTCCAAACTAAGTGTGAATGAACGAATTTTGTTGATCTTGCACTGAGACAAACAGATATGCCACATCAATTAGGTTGCTGTAATTAGTGTGTTTTGCAAGTTTTCACTGAGTACTTTAGTGAAAATTCCATTCAAAATAATGTTGAGAAAATGCACTAAAGCCTTCGAGCGCACACTCAATCGTGCTGATATCGAACGGGAAGGAAAGTAAAAGAGATACAAAAGACAATTTCTTCAGAACCTCATTCTTGAGAAATCATGACTAGGTTTAATCATACGCCTGGCTAGCTTGTCTTGGAGCCCAAAGCCAAGACTGTAAGCGCGATAACAAGCTCAAGCGAACAGCAGCCGGAAGAAAAAAATAAAAAATATTTATTTTTATTTGAGCCTTTCTTTAGGCCCCCAAGTACCAAATTTTCATTTTGTTGTGTACAAAGCAGTTAGGTTTTTTTGCAAAGTGTTAATAAGATGTGCTACCCTTACGCTTACAGAAACGAGTGAAGCTTTGACAAATACCTTTTTTAGAAATTTCTGAGCCATAGTATAATCAAAGCACTCAATCTGGAGCTTTAATTTCTCAGATTAAATAGTCAAGAACCATGACTAACTGCCGATATGTAGACAATTTTATTTTTGGCTATCTCTCATGAGAAAGCTTTTATTTGAGCTTGAATACCTGCCAAAAAATAAATACAAGTTGATTTTGATTTTGAGTGCGGCTGTTTAGAATTTTGTAAAGTCTTGAAGGACGAATCTACAGTAATGGCGTGAAAAATCTACTCTGCAGGAAAAATTTGATGGAAAAAAGTTGTCAGAGAAAATGCGCATTAATTTTGCACCAATTTGATAATTAGGCTGGCACCACACTAAATTAACCTATATTTAAACTTTGTCCTTAGCTGCAGATATCGAAGGTTATTTTAGCTGCAAAATCAAGGGTTATTTTCGCCTCGTAATAATCTATTTCCACATTCTCCACTGTGTAATGATCGATTTCCTTCATGTCTGCAGTTTTGTGCAGCTACAGAACTTTATGTAGGCACAAGGGTTTGTCAGGTACAAGGGGTAGCTGGACCCTTGCCTGAGGGTGTAGCGGTGTTATGGTGTATTTGACATAAGATCAGACTATCTAAGGTTTATTATACAAAGAGATATATACATGAAAGATGAAGGGAAGGGGGGAGGGGGACTGGGAGCTAATAGCCAGTCATGCATGTTGTAACTCTCCACTCTTTTTATACCTACTCCGCATTACAACGTTGCTGTAATATCCGAGGTACAGAGAGGTACTGATAAACAAGATCCAGTAAACAACGATTGCATGATCCTGATGCAATGTTACATCGGCATGATGAGTCACATCCTGACATCTCCATTCCTACAGAATAGCTCGTCCTCGAGCTTGCTGAGGATTGATCGAAAAAAGTGTTGCTCTTGTTAGCATATCGAGGTAAGATTAGGTGAACTGTTGAAGCAGTCACGACCTTCTCTTTACCCCGAATGGTTGAGGAAGCTCGTCCTCGAGCTATGAGAGAGTGTAGAATGGTATTGTCGGTGATGTTGTCGTGCAAAGGGCGTGGTGTCATGCATTGCAGTGGCGGTAGTTGGGGAGTGTTGAATTCAGGTGACAGACATTATTGTTGTACAAAATATCAGTCAACATTCATGTCTAATAAGTAATTCATAAACGTTACATAGGTACGAAAAAAATGTTGAAATTTTGCACAGGGGGACAAAATATTAGTACAATATTCGATTATTAAAAGAAAAAAACGTCAAGTTTATAATAATGGATTGTAATATACAGACGAAGTACTACTTATTTATTTATTTGTTTTTTTTTAAAGGGGGACTTGCTTTGAAATAGCACAATTTCGCTAAATCAGTGCAAGGGCGAAATTTGCAGTTGAATAACGCGGAAGAAAAGAAATTTTTTTTTAGCGCTGCTCAATAGAAGTTCCCTTTCTGTGAATCGCCAATTCAAAGAAATTATGTATTCATTTCAGCGGCGTTGCAGCATGAAACAGAAATGAAAAAAAATTCAAACTTACTTGCTCTGTTAGTGAGAAGAACGCGTTCGCATTACAGTTCTTCAGAATCTGTGCTGTCGCTGTCCAGATTCTGGCTGTGGAGCTGTAAATTTTTTAGAGCGACTAACAGGATGCTCGTCATTTGGTAATGTTTCCGAGGGTGCTGGTGAGTTTTGAATTGATTGATGGGAAACACTATCAAATGAAAAGCGGGAACAATAGATTTTTAATCTATTGATATGAACAGCTTGACTGTTTTGTTTACCAGTCAAACTTTTGATGGTAACATTGGGACGATTTACGCCTTCTACGGGGTAAGGTCCTTTCCACTGAATTGAGAATTTTGGCCTGACAGTATCGTCTTGTAATAGCAAAAGATCTCCAGTAGAAATTTCCTCCGTAAAAACTTTATGCTGAAAATCGTACCCTGCTTTGTACCTTGCAGTTTTTTCTGCAAGTTGCTTTCCAACTTCCGTTACAGTTGTCTGAAGAGCAGTTGTGA